AAAAATCTCCAAACAAAAGCCCAGGGCCAGATGGCTTCCCGGGGGAAGTCTACCAAACATTTAAAGAAGAACTAATTCCTATTCTCCTGAAACTGTTCCAAAAAATAGAAATGGAAGGAAAACTTCCAAACTCATTTTATGAGGCCAGCATCACCTTGATCCCAAAACCAGACAAGGATCCCATCAAAAAAGAGAACTACAGACCAATATCCTTGATGAACACAGATGCGAAAATTCTCACCAAAATACTAGCCAATAGGATTCAACAGTACATTAAAAGGATTATTCACCACGGCCAAGTGGGATTTATTCCAGGGCTGCAAGGTTGGTTCAACATCCGCAAATCAATCAATGTGATACAACACATTAATAAAAGAAAGAACAAGAACCATATGATACTCTCCATAGATGCTGAAAAAGCATTTGACAAAGTACAGCATCCCTTCCTGATCAAAACTCTTCAAAGTGTAGGGATAGAGGGCACATACCTCAATATTATCAAAGCCATCTATGAAAAACCCACCGCAAATATCATTCTCAATGGAGAAAAACTGAAAGCTTTTCCGCTAAGGTCAGGAACATGGCAGGGATGTCCGTTATCACCACTGCTATTCAACATAGTCCTAGCCTCAGCAATCAGACAACAAAAGGAAATTAAAGGCATCCAAATCGGCAAAGAAGAAGTCAAACTATCACTCTTCGCAGATGATATGATACTATATGTGGAAAACCCAAAAGACTCCACTCCAAAACTGCTAGAACTTGTACAGGAATTCAATAAAGTGTCAGGATATAAAATCAATGCACAGAAATCAGTTGCATTTCTCTACACCAACAACAAGACAGAAGAAAGAGAAATTAAGGAGTCAATCCCAATTTCAATTGCACCCAAAACTATAAGATACCTAGGAATAAATCTAACCAAAGAGACTAAGAATCTATACACAGAAAACTATAAAGTACTCATGAAAGAAATTGAGGAAGACACAAAGAAATGGAAAAATGTTCCATGCTCCTGGATTGGAAGAATAAATATTGTGAAAATGTCTATGCTACCTAAAGCAATCTACACATTTAATGCAATTCCTATGAAAGTACCATCCATTTTTTTCAAAGAAATGGAACAAATAATCCTAAAATTTATATGGAACCAGAAAAGACCTCGAATAGCCAAAGCAATATTGAAAAAGAAAGCCAAAGTTGGTGGCATCACAATTCCAGACTTCAAGCTCTATTACAAAGCTGTCATCATCAAGACAGCATGGTACTGGCACAAAAACAGACACATAGATCAATGGAACAGAATAGAGAGCCCAGAAATAGACCCTCAACTCTATGGTCAACTAATCTTCGACAAAGCAGGAAAGAATATCCAATGGAAAAAAGACAGCCTCTTCAACAAATGGTGTTGGGAAAATGGGACAGCCACATGCAGAAAAATGAAATTGGATCATTTCCTTACACCACACACGAAAATAGACTCAAAAATGGATGAAGGATCTCAATGTGAGAAAGGAATCCATCAAAATCCTTGAGGAGAACACAGGCAGCAACCTCTTCGACCTCAGCCGCAGCAACATCTTCCTAGGAACATCGCCAAAGGCAAGGGAAGCAAGGGCAAAAATGAACTATTGGGATTTCATCAAGATCAAAAGCTTTTGCACGGCAAAGGAAACAGTTAACAAAACCAAAAGACAACTGACAGAATGGGAGAAGATATTTGCAAATGACATATCAGATAAAGGGCTAGTGTCCAAAATCTATAAAGAACTTAGCAAACTCAACACCCAAAGAACAAATAATCCAATCAAGAAATGGGCAGAGGACATGAACAGACATTTCTGCAAAGAAGACATCCAGATAGCCAACAGACACATGAAAAAGTGCTCCACATCACTCGGCATCAGGGAAATACAAATCAAAACCACAATGAGATATCACCTCACACCAGTCAGAATGGCTAAAATTAACAAGTCAGGAAATGACAGATGCTGGCGAGGATGCGGAGAAAGGGGAACCCTCCTACACTGTTGGTGGGAATGCAAGCTGGTGCAACCACTCTGGAAAACAGCATGGAGGTTCCTCAAAATGCTGAAAATAGAACTACCCTATGACCCAGCAATTGCACTGCTGGGTATTTACCCTAAAGATACAAACGTAGTGATCCGAAGGGGCACGTGCACCCGAATGTTTATAGCAGCAATGTCTACAATAGCCAAAGTATGGAAAGAACCTAGATGTCCATCAACAGACGAATGGATAAAGAAGATGTGGTATATATACACAATGGAATACTATGCAGCCATCAAAAGAAATGAAATCTTGCCATTTGCGACAACGTGGATGGAACTAGAGGGTATCATGCTTAGCGAAATAAGTCAATCAGAGAAAGACAACTATCATATGATCTCCCTGATATGAGGGAGAGGAGATGCAACATGGTGGGTTAAGGGGGTAGGAGAAGAGTAAATGAAACAAGATGGGATTGGGAGGGAGACAAACCATAAGTGACTCTTAATCTCACAAAACAAACTGAGGGTTGATGGGGGGAGGGGGGTTGGGAGAGGGGGGGTGGGATTATGGACATTGGGGAGGGTAAGTGCTATGGTGAGTGCTGTGAAGTGTGTAAACCTGGCGTTTCACAGACCTGTACCCCCGGGGATAAAAATATATGTTTTTAAAAAATAAAATTTAAAAAAAAAATGTTAAAATGATATATAGAGGAAAAAAAAATTTTATCTCCTGTCAACTTTCCTAAAAACTTATTTATATTCTAATGAGTTATGTTTAGATTGTTTTGGACTTTCTGTGTACCTAATTATATCAAATATGAACAATGACAATATTATTTCTTCCTTTGTTATTCTTCTGTCTCTCATTTCTTTTTTCTGACTTACTGCTAATGCCATTTAAGACCTTTACTGAAGTTGAACAGAAATAAGAATTGGCATCCTTATTTTATTCCTAATCTCACAGTGAACATTTTCTGCATTTCAGTATAAATAGGATGGTTGTTCTAAAGTTTTTTGTGGTTTCCCTTTGCTATGAGTTTTTATCTACATAATTACTGAGTTTTATCAAATGCTTTATTTGACTATATTTATATGGTCATATGCATTTTCTCATTTATTTTATTGATGTGATGAATCATATTGATTGATTCTTGAGTGTTAACTCACCTTGCATTCCAGGAGTAAACCATCTTGGTAGGAATTCACGTACATCCATTTAGTTTTGGATTTTGTTTATGATTTTGTTTGGATTTGGTTTAGGATTCTTGCTTTCATATCCATAAAGGAGATTGGCCTATTATTTTCTTTTCTCCTAATTGTCCTTTTCAATTAAGTGAAGGCAGAAGGTAGAAATTCAGAAGGTCTTCTCTTTTTTTTTTCCCTTAAGATTTTATTTATTTATTTGATAGAGAGATCACAGGTAAGCACAGAGGCAGGCAGAGAGAGAGGGGGAAAGCATGTGGGGCTTGATCCCAGGACCCTGAGACCATGACCTGAGCCGAAGGCAGAGGCTTAACCCACTGAGCCACCTAGGTGCCCCAGAAGTTCTTCTCTTTTGTGATATAACTATTACTCCAAAATAATACAATATTGCTCTGTTTTTAAAAGAATAACTTTTTATTTCTTATTTTCAAAACATACTTATTAATTTGAGAGGGAGATGAGTATCTGTGTGAGTAGGGGAAGGGGCAGAGGGAGAGGGAGAAAGAGAGAGACTCCTAAGCACACTCTCCACTGAGTGCAGGGCTTAATCCCATGACTCTGAGATCATGACCTGAGCTGAAATCAAGAGTCAGACACTTAACTGACTGAGCCAGTCAGGTACCTCAATAACTTCTTATTTTTGAGTAATTTTAGACCACAGAAAAGATACAAACATAATAGAGTTCTCTATACCTCTCTCCCAGCTTTTCATATTAAAATCTTACATTACTATAAGTACATTTGTCAAAATTAAGAAGCCAACTTTGTACATTACTATTAACTACACTCCATTTTATTTACGTTTCACATTTTTTCCATCAATAACTTTTTTTTTTTTTTTGTTCCAGGACCCAGTGCATATCACATTCCCTTTGGTTAGCTATTGTATATCTTTAGTCTCCTCTTGTCAATGGCAGTTCCTCATTCCTACCTTATTTTTCATGATTTTGACAGTTTTGAGGAATATTGGTCAATCTGAGTTTAGATTGTTTTTTTTGTGTGATTAGATGGAATTATGGGTTTCGAAAAGAATACCATAAAAGGGTACCCAAGTTTTCACATCCCAGCAGAGAGTATGTGACATCCACACAACAACATTGGTGATGACTTGAATAATATGGTGTTTGTTAGGTTTCTCTACTGTAAAGTTACTATTTATCACTTTTTATTACTCTGTTCTTTGGAATCCAGTTAATAAGTCCAGCCCATACTCAAGGAAGAAGGGAAAGATTAATCTTCACCTCCTTGGATGAGGAGGTATCTGCATATATTTTTTGGGAATTCTTCTATAAACAAGATTTGTATTCTTATTTTTAAAAAATCATTTATTTACTCTATTCTGTTTTAGTATTAATTCTCTAAAATATTAGTACATAATTACAATCTTAAAAACCTGTGGTTCCCCCACTGACAATAAGCTTCTTGAGGCAAGTCTTTATTTTTGTACACTCTATGCATTTAGCACAGTCCCTTAATTTATTGTAGATGTCTAGTAATTTTTAAAAAATGATTATATTTTTACTTCAACTGGAAAGTACCATATCCTCAGCTAAATTGTACAATAGCATTCTAAGTTGAAATTTAAAATAGATATTTAAATGAATAAACTCATGCATGATTTCATTATAAGTATTTAAGTTAGCAAAGGGTACTGCTGAAATAACTTAGCCATTTGAGGTTGATGTATCTCCACATAATGTTCCTTGAATCTGCCTTTGGAAAGAGAGTACAGTATTTGGTAAGCCACGGATATTACCTTCTGTGTCTTTTCTCCTTTTTGTTCAGACCATCAGAGGAGATTAAGACCCCATTTTCTGCCTTTCCTGGAAAATTGTCATCTGATGCCGTCACTCAGATAACAACAGAAAGTCCAGGAAAAACCATGTTCTCATCTGAGATTTTTATTAATGGTGATGATCGTGGACTTGAAATTCCAGAGCCCAGTACCCCAAAGGTGGGCAAAGTTCCTGTCAAATTTGCTTCATCATCTTCAGGCCAACAGATTACTCATCCTTATGGCACAGATGGTAAGAGAATGTGATTACATTTTAGGTCATATTACCAACTTCTATATGAAATGATCTCAGAAATTTGTGAGGGGGTCTTTGTAGTCAAAAAGTCCAATTTTATTTATTTATTTATTTATATTTTTAATTTATTTTTATTATGTGATATTAGTCACCATACAATACATCATTAGTCTTTGTTTAAACTTTATTTTATTATTTCAGTGTTCCAAGATTCATTGTTTATGCATCAATACCCAGTGCTCCATGCAGTACGTGCCCTCCTTATACCCACCACCAGGCTCACCCAACCCCCCACCCCCCTCCTTCCTCCTCCCTTCCAAAACCCTCAGTTTGTTTCTCAGAGTCCACAGTCTCTCATGGTTCGTCTCCCACTCTGATTTCCCCCAACTCCCTTCTTCTCCCAGTGTCCTCTGTATTACTCCTTATGCTCAACAAGTGAGCCCATATGATACTTGACTCTCTCTGCTTATTTCACTCAGCATAATCTCTTCCAGTCCCATCCATGTTGATACAAAAGTTAGGTACTCATCCTTTTTGATGGAGGCATAATATTCCATTGTGTATATGGACCATATCTTCTTTATCTATTTGCCTGTTGAAGGACATCTTGGCTCATCATTAGTTTTTGATGTAGTGTTCCATGATTCATTGTGTGTGTATAACACCCAGTGCTCCATGCAATACATGCCCTCCTTAACACCCACCACCAGGCTAACCCATCCCACCACCCCCTCCTCTTTAAAACCCTCAGGAGGACATTAGGAGAAGGAAAGGAAGAGTGAATTTGGGTAAATTGGAGGGGAGATGAAGCTTGAGACACTGTGGACTCTGAGAAACAAACTGAGGATTTTGAGGGCTTGGGTAAGCCTGGTGGTGGGTATTAAAGAGGGCACATATTCCAGGGAGCACTTGGTGTGGTGCGTAAACGATCAGTCTTGGAACACTGAAAAAATTAAATTAAATTAAAAAAATAAAACCCTCAGTTTGTGGACTCCTGGAAAGAAAACCCAATTTTAGTTTTAAACATTAGGATTCTACATGATTTTATCCATCTTTTATTTACATGGCTGTGAAAGGAATGTGGCATGTTTTTGTCTTAATTACTAGTGGAGATAACTTATGTGGGACTCAGGCTGCTCATCTTTGATTTATTTTTATCTCATGATACTTAATGAATTAGTTCATAAAAATTTAAAAACTATGGATGTCTGGTTTCAGGCCGGCAGATGAAGTATTGCCATTTTGTATTATATTAAATGTTACATACTGTAATAAATAGATGAAAAAATGTAATAGTACCAGCACAATACCAGTCTGTTGCTTATAAATCAATGACGAGGAACCCAGGTTGACTGTGGCCCTGCTGTCTTTAAAACACAGAATCCACAATTTCCTTGGATTCACCATCACAGTCAACTAGAAGGGACCCAAAAAAGCTTGGAGAGAGAACCCCATGTCCTAGGCCTGGAAGTGGCTCAGATCACTTTCTTCTAGCTAGGAAATGGCTAAACCATTTAGTTGTGATTTTGAGGATAAAGAAGTAGATTTTGATGAACAGCTGGTGATCTCAACCCTAAGGTCTACATTTAGAGTGTTCATGTGCTGTGAGAGTGGTAGTTCAGTGGTATTTATACTATATAACATTCAAAATAGAGCATGTTATTTTCTTTTTCAGACCGATAGCAGGAAAATTAATAATTAAGTTCCCATTCTTCCTTCAAATGAGAGTTAAATTACTAACTTAAGTTTAAGTTAGTATGGGTTATATTGTTTAAGTTTAAGTTAGTAATTTAAGAATTTAATAGTTTGCACAAGTCTTCTCAAAATATTTAAGTTTTCCTTCTTATGCAAAAAGGTCTGTAGATAAAGATGGGGTATGCCTAAATATATAAAAAAAATTTCTTGGTTCACCATATAACTTTGACTGAATTTAATTTAAACAAGTACACTTGTATGTTAAGATGGTTATAATTCTTACACATTTTTATGGTGGAAAAAAAATACCCCCAAATCTACAGTTTAATAAATATCACAAAGAACATCCTTGTATGTCAGTTACCTAGTGCCACAATGATACTGTGAAATAACCTCCCAAATCTGTGCTTTGTAACAACAAACATTTGCTTTTTCCACTCATGGGTTTTGTGAGTCAGAGTTTAGCTTGAGGCTATAGAAATGACTTCGGTCTGTACGCCAAGCCTTGTTCTGAAACCCCAGCTAGTGGAAGAATGTCTGCCCTGGGTTATATTGTTCTCATGGTGATGCCAGAAGCATAAGAGGGGAAGTCCAACTGTGAAAGTGTGTTTTAAACCCCTACTCACATCAAATGCGTCAATTTATATAGAGGCCATAATTTATGTTTTCACCTTGGCATACAGGATCTAGGAGAAAGGATTCCTTTAAATGATGAATGTCATTTGGCTTACTGATAAAATAGTGTTTTTAATACTGTGTATTTAAAAGTAAAATTTTTGGTTTTTTTTTTTTAATTTTTAATTTTTTCAGCGTAACAGTATTCATTATTTTTGCACCACACCCAGTGCTCCATGCAATCCGTGCCCTCTCCAATACCCACCCCCTGGATGCCCCAACCTCCCACCCCCGCCCCTTCAAAACCCTCAGATTGTTTTTCAGAGTCCATAGTCTCTCATGGTTCACCTCCCCTTCCAATTTCCCTCAACTCCCTTCTCCTCTCCATCTCCCCTTGTCCTCCATGCTATTTGTTATGCTCCACAAATAAGTGAAACCATATGATAATTGACTTTCTCTGCTTGACTTATTTCACTCAGCATAATCTCTTCCAGTCCCGTCCATGTTGCTACAAAAGTTGGGTATTCATCCTTTCTGATGGAGGCATAATACTCCATAGTGTATATGGACCACATCTTCTTTATCCATTCGTCCGTTGAAGGGCATCTTGGTTCTTTCCACAGTTTGGCGACCGTGGCCATTGCTGCTATAAACATTGGGGTACAGATGGCCCTTCTTTTCCCTACATCTGTATCTTTGGGGTAAATACCCAGTAGTGCAATGGCAGGGTCATAGGGAGGCTCGATTTTATTTATTTATTTGTCAGAGAGAGAGCACACAAGCAGGCAGAGTGGCAGGTAGAGGCGGAGAGAGAAGCAGGCTCCCTGCCGAGGAAGGAGCCCAATGCGGGACTCGATTCCAGGATCCTGGGATCATGATCTGAGCTGAAGGCAGCAGCTTAATTGACTGAGCCACCCAGCCGTCCCTTGTGGGATTTTTTTGTATGAAAACATTTTATCTTATAAAGAATAGTATGTTAAACACTTGACTGTGCTCAATACGTAAATGACCAAATTCAGAATAATATATGTATATATTTGGTTCTATTTTCCAAGTTTTTGAAGAAATAAATTTTATAGTTGAATTTTCTTCTTTATCCTTCTCTAATCTTTTTTTATCTTTCTTAAGAATAACCATTATTTGCTATGTAGTCATTTCTTTCCCCATAGGCAACCAGGCCAAAGTAACCTTAAAACTATTGCATCCAAACATAAAGTTGTCAGAAATTTTGAAAAACCACTTCTCTGTCTCAGAATTCTCCAGCTCTGCATGACAGCCATTCTTGCTCTCGGTCCATTGTAATTCTGCCCACTTGTTATTACTCATTTTTTTTGTAGCCTTTCACCTAACTGGTGAATTTAACCATCATTATCAAACATTATATACACTGGTAGAGAAAGAAAATTAATAAATCAATATTCCTACAATGACTACAGTAATGACCAAATAGAAGTGGAGGCTATTGCCTATTTTTTCTGTTTAAAATTTCCCCTCCTCTATACACTTTTTTGTTTCCCTTGACTTCACAGAGACAAAACCATATATGTATATATATATAAAATCTCCTCTATGATGATCAAATTATTACTTTGTTAAAACATATACCTCCTTCCTCTAAATGCTAGCTCTTCTTGAAGGCAGAGATATTTTTCTGTTTTAGTTCCCTGATATATCCTAAGACTCTTTTTTTTTTTAAGTTTATTTATTTAAATAATCTCTACACTCCATGTGGAGCTCAGACTCACAACCCTGAGATCAAGAGTTACATGCTCTTCCGACTGAGCCAGCTAGGCACCCTGATCTTTCCCAAGAATCTTGTACACTGCTTGGCACATGAAAGGCACTCAGTATTATTCAGTGAATTAATAAATCTTTTCTTATTAATTTTTCTGATCTTTCTGTCTTTAGCCCAGCCTTCACTGTTGCCATATAAGCCTCCTGGTAGTACGAGGATGTACTATGTTCCACAATTGAAACAAATTCCTCCATCTCTGGATTCCAGATCAGATACCACCATTGAGAGCTCACACTCAGGTATTATGCATAAATTATTCAGAATTTTATTTTTTGAAATTTGACTTGTGGATTGGCTGATTAATTCTAGATTGACCTATGAAAGCTCAGTGACATAATCCTTTAGCGTGAAATATGGAGCTTTTCATGCCTCAGTCTCTGGTTCAAAGAAGTGTTATTTGGTGAGATGTGTTATGTATATATAATCATTTAATAAGCATTTAATGAAGAAAATTGTTAGGATAATTGTTTAGGTTAGTGGACTTCATTTCAGATGAAGGTTTCCAAGTTTTTTCTGTTCACAGTGCCCTTAGTATTTTGGTGATTTTTTTTTCCTTATCATTATGTAGAACACATATGAACATAAGAAGTGTTTTTTTAAGCCGCTGTAAGTTATTAAGAAATAAATACTTACTGTTTTGATCTAACAAACAAAAATATTAGGCATTTCCTTTTAGTTTTGGGTTTTGAAAGAAAATACTTTACTTTGTTCTTAAATAACTAGTTACTTACTAATGCAGTATGTGCAGCTGTTAGAACACTGTGTAGCTTCTCAAACCTTGAGATGAAATTTTACACAACCATAGTTATTTGCTGCTTTTAACTACAGAAACTATCAAAAATCCAGCTTTGCAGAGATACAACAGCATTGAAAGGAATATGGCACTATCTAATACTGAAACTTTGAACTCCTTTGGGCCAGTTGCTTGTGCACTGTATACTGGGTACCAGTTATCACTGTTGTTTCCGTGAAATCTTAAAATATCCCATAGCACCCCTGTGAGATCACCACAGGGGAACTGCAGATTTAGAAAATGAATAGCACCCCATGCAGGAATTCAGTAAATAGTTCCTGTGGGGATTTTAATATAAGAATACTGAGTTGGTGTGGTGTGGGGTTTTGTTTGATGCCATAACGTTTAGGGTGGTCCACAGGAGATGACTTGTTTCAGTTTAGATAAAATTTTTTTCATGATTTATCAATAGACATCTTGATATGTGTAGAAATAGCACACAAATGAGAAATTTTCCCTAGTCTTAGGCAGACTTTTTTTGTTGTTAACTTTAAGAGGACCAAGCAAGTACCTAGTTGTAACTTAGTTAAAGTGCCTGGTACAACTGCTTCTAATTCCCCACTGTGAAGCTACTGAAAAAAGAACCATCAAAATGCTCATATTACCAAATGATAAGATTTATTATTAAGCCTATAACCAGGAACTAGAAGAAATTTCATGGCATGCAAGGCCATGATTTTAAAGATTTTATTTATTTATTTGGCAGAGAGGGAACACAGGCAGGGGAAGCTGGAGAGGGAGAAACAGGCTTCCTGCTCAGCAGGGAGCCTGATGCGGGGCTCCCATCCCAGGACCCTGGGATCATGACCTGAGCTGAAGGCAGAGGCTTAACAACTGAGCCACACAGGTGCCCCAAGGCTATGATTTTAAAAACACACTTAATGGGGTTTTATTCCTGGGTTGCAAGGATGGTTCAATATTTACATGAATGCGATACATCACATTAATAAAAGAAAAGATAATAACCATATGATCATTTTCAATAGATGCAGAGAAAGCATTTTATAAAGTGCAACATCCATTCACAATAAAAACCCTCAACAGAGTAGGTTTAGAGGGAGCATACCTCACCGTACTAAAGGCCATGTGTGAAAAACCCACAGCTAATATCCTAAGTGGGGAAAAACTGAGCTTTTCTTCTGGGGCAGGAACATGACAGGGATGTCCACTGTCTCCACTTTAATTCAGTGTAGTACTGGAAGTCCTAGCCACAGCAATCAGACAACTAAAAGAAATAAAAAGCATCCAAATCAGCAAGGAAGGAGTCAAACTTTCAGTATATGCAGATGACATGATACTATATACAGAAATCCAAAAAACTGCTAGAACTGATAAATTCAGTAGAGTCACAGAATACAAAATCAACATACAGAAATCTGTTGCATTTCTATACACCAGTAATGAAGCAGAAGAAAGAGAAAATAAGGAATCAGTCTCATTTATAGTTGCACCAAAAACAGTAAGATACCTAGGAATCAACCTAACCAAAGAGTTGAAAGACTTATACTCTGAAATTGAAGATGATGCAAAGAAATGGAAAGACATTCCATGCTCATGGATTGGAAGAACAAATACTGTTAAAATGTCTATACTACCCAAAGCAAATTGCACATTTAATGCAGTCCCTAACAAAATGCCAGTAGCGTTTTCACAGAGCTAACACAAGCAATTCTAAAATTTGTGTGGAACCACAAAAGACTCCAGATAGCCAAAAAGCAACCTTGAAAAAGAAAAACAAAGCTGGAGACATCACAATTCCAGACTTCAAGTTATATTACAAAGCTAGAGTAGTCGAAACAGTATGGCACACAAATAACCACATAGATCAATGGAACAGAATAGAAAACCCAGAAATGAAGCCTCAGTTACACTGTCAGTTAAACTTCGGCAAAGCAGGAAAGAATATCCAATGGGAGAAAGACAGTCTCTTCAGTAAATGGTATTGGTAAAACTGGACAGTAACATGCGAAAGAATGAAATTGGAACACTTTCTTAAACCATATACAAAAATGAATTAAAAATAGATTAAAGACCTAAATGTGAAACATGAAACCATAAAAATCCTAGAATGGAATATAGGCAGTAAAGTAATTTTTTTGACATTAGCTATACCATCTTCTTTCTATATATGTCTCGTGAGGCAAGGGAAACAAAATAAAAAATAAACTATTGGGACTATATCAAAATACAAAGCTTCTGCCCAGGGGAGGAAACAATCACCAAAACTAAAAGGCAAACTACGGAATGGAAAAAGATATTTGTAGATGACATATCTGATAAAGAATTAGTATCCAAAGTATGTAAAGAACTTATAAAACTCAACCCCCAAAAATGAGTAATCCAATTAAAAATGGGTCAAAGACACAAACGGACATTTTTCCAAAGAGGATATGCAGATGGCCAACAGACACATCAAAAGATGCTTAACATCACTGATCATCAGGGAAATGCGAATCAAAACTACAATGAGAGAGCACCTCACACCTGTCAGAATAGCTAAAATCAACAGCAAGAAACAACAGGTATTCATGAGGATGTAGAGAAAGAGGAACCCTTGTGCACTTTTGATGGGAATGTCAACTGGTGCAGCCACTCTGGAAGGCTGTATGGGGTTCATCAAAAAGTGAAAAATAGAACTGTCCTATGACCCAGCAATCACACTAGTGGGTATTTGCCTGAGGAATACAGAAATACTAACTTAAATGGATATATGCACCCTGCTATTTATAGCAGCATTATCTGTAATAGCTAAATTAGGGAAACAGCCCAAGTGTCCATTGATTGTTGACTGAATAAAGAAGAGGTGGTACAGGGGTGCTTGGGTGGCTCAGTTGGTTAAGTGTCTGCCTTTGGCTCATGTCATGATCTTACAGTCCTGAATGAAGCCCCATGTTGGGCTCCCTGCTCAACAGGGAGTCTGCTTCTCCCTCTGCCCCTTTTCCTGCTCATGCTCTCTCTCTCTCAAAATAAATAAATCTTAAAAAAAGAAAAAATGGTGATAAACACACACACACACACACACACACACACACACACACACACACACAATGGACCATTACTTAGCCATAAAAAAAGAATAAAATCTTGCCATTTGCAACAACCCATGAATGGAGCTAGAGAGTATTATGCTAAGCAAAATAAGTTAGAGAAAGACAAATACCATATGGTCTCACTCATATGTGGAATTTAAGAAACAAACAAGCAAAGGGATAAAAGGGGGCAAACCAAGAAAAAGACTCTTAACTAAAGAGAACAAATTGATGATTACCAGAGGGGAGGTGGGTAGGGCGATGGATTAAATAGGTGATGGAGATTAAAAAGTGCACTTGGGATGAGCACTGGGTGCGGTATGGAAGTGTTGAATCATTATATTGTACACCTGAAAGTAATACTACATTGCATATGAATGGAATTTAAATAAAAACTTAAAAAATAAAAACACACTTAATAAGGAAAACAAAAACACACAATCATTTAGTGGCTACCAGAAAGAAAATAATTGAGTAAGAAAACTTTGATCACTCTTTTACTTTCAACCCTCAGTTCAGAAGACAAAATGTCTGAACCAGTAAAAATCTGACCGGATGTCTCAATACTTTTTGAGGCCTCTATTGTCCTACTGTATGTTTATGTCCTTAACTCTCATCTAGTTGGAGACATTAATTTTGAGAAAAATTGGACAGTGGCAGAAAGAGAAAATAATTCAGGGATGGTACATTGTATCCTGAGAAATACTGTCCCTGTAAATAAAGTACTGAATAAATCAGTAAGACAGAAGGAGATCCAGTAACGATATATATACTTCAGATTATAGTTTTTATGTTCTCCATCTATTCTGAGAGGGGAGGAGTTGACCATAGTAAGATCCTTTCTTTATCCAGTAGAGCTACTCTAGATGAAAACCTAGGAATTGTTCTAATAGCTGTTTTGTAAATTAGTATGTCATGCATCTATAGATAGAGAAGTATCCAATTAGTGTTTGGGGCCAAGGGCAAGTCATATACATTAATAGCAAATATTTGGGCCAATTAGATTTTCCTCAAGTGAGAATGAATAAACCTTTGAATTAATGAAATCCCTAAAATTTAAAGAAGGCAAAGGTAACAGCCCCCCCACAAAGAAAGAGATTGATGTTAGAAATTTATGTATTGTACCCAGTAACATTCTTAAGTAGAACAAGACTCTATATTAGATAGTAAGTTCTGATACATGTCCCTCTTTTTTTTTTTTTTTTTTGGTTAGGCATTTTATACCTCATACCAATACTCATTCTAGACATTCAAATATTTATATATTAATAATCACTATATAGGAGCAAAAAGCCAGAAGAAGAGGACTGGCTGGTATCATTTAAAGGAATTTGGGCATTACAGCAGAGAAAATGGTAAAGACCTAAGATTTCTCCCCTTGGTAAAAGCAACAAAAATTGGCAAAACTTCAGAAATT